GATGTTCGTGACACTCGTCAAAGTCAAACCCCTTGACTTCTCTCCAGACCCTGGATGATGGAGCTTGTCTCCATGGCCATAAGGGTTGACTGCCACCACAGGCCGGAACCTATGTACCACCCACTTTCCGCAAGGTGCAGAAGAGGGTGTGGTTCTCAACCGCCTTGATGGTTATTTAGTGTCGAGAGATTAACCCCTCAAGGCGCGTGTCATTCGACACTTGAGTGTCGAACACGACCCTCGAGACCATCGAGGACCCCACGATTATGGGTACTATACAGTACGCCATCATTGTGACTGTTTGTGAATGCTTGCATGACTAGTCGATATGAGAAAGCCTTGCATCCACGTGGTTCTATATAAAAACACGCGCGCGATACCTAACCGATTTCTGTATCAGAAGGTTATGGGTTGGATACTAAAGGGACTAGGAGTGTTTTTGTTTTGTGTGATTGATCTGACTTCTGTTCAGGCGTGGTGTAACGCATGGTAAGAAGGATGCGTTGTCGGAGCAAACACCCTTACAAGGGTATTTGCTCGTGTTTTTGCATTCGATACATAATCAACGCCAGTTGTCATGAAAGGGACAATATGAAATAAAGATTGAGATTTGTTTCCTTGACCTCCGCGGCCAAGGTCGTTAAGTGACCATGAAAGTTAACATGACACGTGCAACAAAAATAATAATGATTAGTAAAAGATAAAAACCTTCGGTCGCAAGGGTCGGGAGGGAGTCGCACGGGATACGACAATAACACACCAAGTAGATGGTAGGTTCTAACCAAAGTAATAAGATAAGTTAGTTATAGACATCAAACATGGCGGGGTACGGGGAAAATGGAAAAATGCTCTGCCACAACCTCAGAAGTAGATTGGAAAAAAAAAAAAAACAATATGTGCCCTGGTCCTGCGGACAGGATAGCCAAGAGGGACGTGTTGCTTGCCACGCTAGGCAGCGACGACCAGTATAGGCTTTAACTAACAAGGGAAAACGGGTCGTGGGCCTTTTTACACCGACTGAGCCAAACCCTATACTCAACTTATAGTCGGGCCGCTCATGTTCTAGCCTAGGAGCTAACCCAGTGGATATAGGCGTGGATAGGTACGCTGAAGATGCAGGAGCCGAGTCCATCCTTTCATGGGTCGAATAAGGATGCACACTTTCAACTCCAACACAGGTCTGTCGGGGTCTGACCTCACGAACACATGATTGGGAACTGAACCGTTAATGATGGAATAAAGGCTCCTACTGCGATAAGAGTCAGGCAGTTAAACTCACGGAGGGCAACAAAGCTAGTTGGTTGGTTTCTATTTTTCGATTTTTTTTATTATTATTATTTTATTTTCCTATTCGATTCGTTAATTTTCGTTTCCTTAGATTCCGCACGAACTGTTCAGCTGTTCATCAATAGGCCCCAACCAAATCGAGTGAGACAAATCCTTCACCCGAGAAAAACGAAAATATGGGGACGTACTTCGCAATTTTTGTTTCTTTTTCTTTTCTTTATTCTCTTTTCCCCTTCTCACGAAATACGGTCAGATTCGTGACCTAAAGATGCAGCACCAAAAACGACCGAGGATTTCACACTAACAGAAGCATGAGTGGGAAGAAGGGGCTTTACGTGGACAAAGGAAAACACAGGAGGCGCGAGCAGGGACCCACATGCAAAGCGCAAGCAAGCAGACAAGCATGCAAGAGAACAAGTGATAAGGGCAACAGTAAGCTTGCAGGAGTACGCGGATGAGCGCGCTAGTACGAAAGCGAACTTGCAGAAGCGAGCGGGCAAATGCAAGCGCAGGCAAAGGAGAAAGAGCGGGCAGGAGTGTGAGGAAAAGAAGAGAAGGTTACAAAGGAGAAGGGGACAGGGGTATCTAGGGGTGATGGATTAAGGATCGAAGAAAGCCATTGCGAGAGGAGGTGATCACAAAGGGGTATTGATGCTCGATCACGACGCACCTTCATTTGGGTTGTACCTGACCAGTGGTACGGTGTAGATGCATTCGGTGGGGTAAATGCTGAGGTGAGGGCGAAAACAGGCACGAGTAGAAGAATGGGTGTGATTGTGATAACAAGCAACTAAAAGAACAGTCGAAAACCAGGGGTTAAAGGGGGAAATGAGAGGAAAGAAGGAGTGAATACGTAAGAGAAGGAGATGGCATTCCGGGCATGAATTTGGATGACGAAGGAACTATTGCTACCATCGCGGTAGTAGGGACGGGACCACCACGCTGAAAGCGGCAGACGATGCTCTTAAGAAAAATTAGAATTGATGTGAGTTTTTTTTCATGTGTGTGAATGTATATATATATATATATGTATTTATATGTGTGTATTTATTATTTCTTTTTCTTCTCATTAATATTCTTATAAGCTATAATAAAAGTTCTGATGATTATACTGCGCTACCATTCCAGCTGTAACTGACAGGGAAAACATAACTTCGTACGCTCAATTCATAATAGACGATTGGGGGAAACATGCAGGGAAAACAAGAAGAATGAAAGTAAGAAAGGAGAGCCAGCGGATGACGAAGAAGAAGAAAAAAAAAACGATGAGGAGAAAGAAGAAGAAGGGGAAGAGGAAGGAGATGAAGAAAGAAGAAAGAAAGGGGGGTGGGAATGATACTTACCCATTGTAGTCAACGACGACAATAATCCGGACCTGGGTTTTAGGGCTTTGTACCTGAGTCACTAGGGCCTCGCTGCACCAACTTTCGAGGTGTTTCCAGCTCGTCACATCCTGATGGCAGACAGGCGATCTCTGTGGTGCGGTTCGGGCTTCGAATCCCTCACTAAGGGCTTTCTGACAGAAAAGAGGTGAATGTTCAACCCCACATCTGGCCTGCCTACTACTTCTAGCTACGGGATGAGCGAGATCGGAATGAATCTTCCGAGGAATATAGAAAATAAAACACTGCTTTCCAGTAGCGTGTGCAAAAAGATATTGATAGGTTGGGGATAATTGAATGAGTCCTTCGCTAGAACATGGAAGTATATTGGATCGCCTGTTTGTTCAGGTAGCAGCGTGCATGTGTGTGTGTATGCTTGTGTGTGTATATGCGTGTGTGTGTGAGTGTGTAATGGAGAAGGGTATTTGACTTACTCACGAGCATCGCCTTCCCACAAGTTGAGCTTTCCTAGTAATCGTATCGGACAAGGGGAAGATAATGGGCATTCATTACTCTATTAGTTATGTTATTCATTTGGAAAAAGATCATCAAAAGGGTGACGATCGTAAAAAGAAGAAGGAAAAGAAGAAGAAGAAGAGGAAGAAGAAGGAAGGAGAAGAAAAGAGGAGAGGAAATGGATTCTAGTCGGCCTACGCTCGCTGCTCGCCATGTCCGACGTTGGAGATTGGCTGGAGGTGCTAAGCCTCCACCTATAATGTAGCGGGGTCGGGTTCGTCATCCACCTGACTGATAGAATGCGCAAGCATGCCTGCTGTCGTCCCGACGGATTGTGGCCTCGGTATGTTGCATTCCGTAACGGATCGCGTTGCGTCGTAGGACCATGACAACGGTAGCAATGACAAAGACAGACTAAGTCTCCTAATGCGACAGACACTTGATACTTCAAACTTGAGGATGAGCAAAACTGAATGAATCTACCACAAAAATTATAAAATATATTATATGCATGCTTGCGTGTGTGTGTGTGTGGGCATTAAGTTCTTGTGAGGGTTGGAAGAAAGGAATCGGCCCTAATGAGAGGGGTTTGCACTTACCACCCGGATCCGTTTTAAAAAGCGTCCTCCATAAGACCCCAGAAGCAACACCCTGGTCTTGAATGAACCAAACCGACAAGATACGTTGAATACATTCATTATAATTGTTATTATATTATTATTATTATTTTAGCGTTGTTGTTATTGTTGTCCTTCTTAATATTTTTGATGATTGATTTCTATTATTATTATTATTATTATTATTGTTATTTTATTTATTTGTCGTTGTTGATTTCCAAATACTATCCTTATTACTATTATTTGTTGATTCTCATTATTATTGTTATTATTATTGTTATTATTATTATTGTTATTATTGCTATTATTATTATTACTATTATTATTACTATTATCAGGGTCACCAGCCCGTACGTACGGAGGTCCCCGAGCAAACCTCCGTACGTACGGGCGTTCGGGGTCCCGTACGGGGTTCGAACCTGACGGCGTTCGGGCCCCGCCAAAAACTATTTCGGGGCCTAGAAATAATTATGTTTTTCTGAATTTTGTTTTGTGAGTTTTCTATGACGTGATGTACATGCCTGTAAATTTTCAAGTCATTTGGCTAAGTAAATAAGAATTAAAAAACTCCAAAGATGGCGGTGTCAAAACGTGCTCGCCCACGTATTTTTTCACTTTTTACTTTTTGTTTTCACTTTAGTTCGGGGTCTAAACAATTTKATTATTTTTTGAAACGTTTTTAGTGGGTTTTGTATTATGTAAAGTACACATCTGTAAATTTTAAGGGCATTTAGCTATGCTAAAAAAAAAATGAAAAATCACCAAAGATGGCGGTGTCGAAAACATGCTCGCGCACTCACTAAATTAATTCTCTTTTTATTTTTATTTATTTTTATTATTAGTATTTATTTTTCGTATTTTATTTTTATTTTAAATTTGGTAAGGAATTCGGATGCTTGTTTAATTAATTTTTCTTCATAACATATCTTTGTTTCAGATGTTTTTGATGACTTTTTTTTTTTTTTTTTTTTTTTTTTTTTTTTTTGGCTCCGTGTTTGGCCCGAACGGCCGAACGCATCCCCAAGGGGTCCCATACGTTCGGGCGTTCGGGTTCGGGTTCGGACATTCGGCCCGTCCCGAACGCCGATTATCCTGACTATTATTATTATTATTATTATTATTATTGCTATTATTATTATTATTATTATTATTATTATTACTATTATTATTATTGCTATTATTATTATTATTATTACTATTATTATTATTATTATTTTATTATTTTATTATTATTATTATCAAAGCAACTTAATCTTACCTGAGTCGCCCGCTTGCCATCTACGAAGGTGGGGGCTGTTGAGAATTGTGACGTCTCTGCCAATGGTGTCATGGAGATCGGGCTATCATCTGCTCGACCTGTTGAAAGCGCACCTGTGACTAGTATATACCCCGTGGCCGAGATCTGCTCGTGCTTCGGTAAAGCTGCTGTCGTCATCATTCGGCATTATAGTCTAGGCTAGATAGGATCTGCCGACTGTAGTCTTGGCGTCGAGCGCCAGATCAGATATCAACATTGGTTCTTTATTGATGATGATGATGAGATTTTTACCAGCACTGTCAACTATAAGCTCCCGGTGTCTTCTTATTCGGTGAAACTCGTGATTCAATTCTGCTGTTGGTTCGAGGTCACGACTATCTGGTCTTGTGTGTATGATGCTGCTCGGTTTCTAAAGTCCGCTATTGCTCATTTTTTGTACATTATTATTATTATTATTATTATTATTATTATTATTATTATTTTACAATCAGACTCGCTTTCACTTCTTCACTTCGCATGCGTGCAAACAGATGGTGATTCACACTGGCGCATAGCACCCAACTCAAAGCTCGAAGATATGGAAACTAAAACACAATTCAGATTCAAGCTTGCTTCAGCAGGCTATGGTGCATCAACACCCACACATCGCAACTCTTGTCCCTGTGTCCGACACCACTGTTCACTTCACACTTCAACTCCGGATCACCCTGGATACCCCACGCACACACTCACACGAAGAGGCAAAAGGAGAAAGAGAGAAACAGACAGGACAGTGTAAAACAAGCAGGCAGACATCGACAGACAGACATACAGACATACATGACAAGACAGAGACGGACTGACAGATGGACAATGACAAAACAGAGACAATCAAACAGTCAGAGAAACAGAAAGACAACGACAGACAGACAGAAACAGACGCACAAGACATACAGAAACAGACGCACAAGACAGACAAAAACAGGCAAACACAGTCAGGCAGACACACCGACGAACAGATAGAACAGACACAAAGAAAGACAAATAAGACAACGAGACGGGCAAACACACACACACACACAGAGAGAGAGAGAGAGAGAGAGAGAGAGAGAGAGAGAGAGAAGAAGGAGGGAAGAAACGACAGTCGCAAACCAACGCAGGCAGGTAAACAGACAACAGGATACAGACCAGCAAACAGACAAGACAGACATAAACAGACAGTCGCACACACAGACAGAGAGGTGGAGAGAGACGTGCCTGGAGATCGTTTGCGGGGGTCGACAACTCCATGTGGTTCGGCTCCGCCGCTGATATTAACTAGATGCATTGTCAGCTCATACGCTGGTAGTGGCTGCGCGATGGTAGATTGGGCACTAAGCAGTGAGCACCAAGAAGGAGAAGGGCTTTGGACACTTAGGTTGGTGATAGCGAAGGTATGTTCTCATTGACGGTCAAATGCAATGTTTTGGTTCTCCGTGATTGTAGTATCAATTCAACTCTATTTTCTGGACAGTGTCCGACTTCCCGGATTTCGATGTGACCTTGCAAACCAGAAACTGTCAATTTGCCATTGCCCGTTTTCCCTGCATTATTATTAATGATGGTATAATTATTATTGTCATTATTATTATTATTATTATTATTATTATTAGTATTAGTATTATCAGTATTATTAGTATTATTATTAGGATTGTTATTATTAAAATAATATTACTAGCATAATGGCTCCAGCAAGCCTCGTGCCCGCCTTGAGTAAAGGCAGGCCTGAGTATCCCCGAGAGGGGGCCTACTATCTCACCATCTTTCAATGCAGGTCTCAGACAATGTTGCACTCCGGTTGGTTAAAGTGCAGTTGGGGCCTCACTCCGGGGGTTCTTCCTAAAGAAGCAGCTGCGAAGATGGTGGCAGCTTGGGCGTACGCAGCGTGAGGTCGGTTTAGTAAGAAGGGACCACAGACATTGGGAGCGCGACATTATCACCGCATTCGTGCGCAGGCTCAAAGTAGCGTGGGTCGCGGCCAAACAGCGGGACACTAGCAGACTATGGCTAGGCATGCAGGACATCGAATGGATTGTTGCGACCAGGACTGTGTGACAAGAGTTAAGGGGTGCATGTGGACTAAAAAGAAGGGGGATGCCGGAAAAGAATAAGAAATAGGAAGAGTGAAAAAGAGGAAGGTGAAGGAAGGAAGAGAGAAGGAAAGGAAATACATGAAAACGAGAGGATAAAAAGAAGAAAGTAACAGGAGACTAACTCTTTTATTATTATCATTATTGTTGCTATCATTTGTTATTATCATTATTACTATTATTATTATCGTTATTATTATTATTATTATTACTACTACTGTGATTATTATTATTATTAATTATGTTCATTATTTTGCTATGGTTATTGATAAACATCATGGGCCACCGATAATGAGAGTGTGGGGCATTGGATAGAAGAGACGCATTGTCACTATGTGGTGGTGTGTGCTTCCTCCATCCTCCTTTATGTTTATCATCGTTTGGTTTTCTCAAAAGACCTGTCTCTTCAACTATGATTGATGTGTTCCCATTGAGGCGACTTTGGCTTCGTCGACCTTAGGGATCAGACAAGTAATAACTATGACTAGATGTGACCGAGCAAACAAGGCGATTGCAGGAGCTCTGCCGGAACTCAGGAGGAGTTCTGGAGACAGGGAACTATGAGGTACGCGTCACCTAACCCTTTCCCCTATACCCATACGGGTTACGCCCTTCTATTGGATTGCCTGTATGATTGTATGATATACTGCTTATACTTTCTTTAGGAATAAGATAATCAAGAAAAAAAAAATATATATGATTGGATTAAGAATCCTGCCTGGTGAAAAGAAAGGAACCTAAATTAACCAAGAAGGAACCTAGACTGATTGGACTTGAAGAACGAAGTAGGGCGATGAAGGCTCATGTGTGAGTCGTCGTGCTACTTATGTATGCGTTAACATAACTAAGGGTTGGCACTTAGGTACTCATATGTGAGTTACCTTACTATCTGCCAAATCGACTGTCGTCGTGATGAGCAGAGGTGTCTGACACTAACTTATAAACAAAATGAGGTGCTCATGTGTGAGTTACCTTACTCTCTATCGGACCGACTGTCGTCGTGACGGGATGAGGTATCTGACAATAACTTATGAACTAGATTAGGTACTCTCTACCGGATCGATTGTCGCCGTGATGGGCAGAGGTATCTAACAATAACTTATGAACTAAATTAGGTACTCTCTACCAGATCGACTGTCGTCGTGACGGGCAGAATATCAAACTATACCGTAACGACTGTCGTCATGACGGGGCAGAGGTATCTGACAATAACTTATGAACTAAATTAGGTGCTCTCTACCGTAACGACTGTCGTCGTGACTTGAAGAGGTATGTGACAATAACTTATGAACTAAATTAGGTACTCTTTACCGTAATTACTATCGTCGTGACGGGAAGGGGTATCTGACAATAATTTATGAACTAAATTAGGTACTCTCTACCGTAACGACTGTCGTCGTGACGGGAATAGGTATCTGACAATAACTCATGAACTAAATTAGGTACTCATGTGTGAGTTACCTTGCTCTCTACCGAATCGACTGTCGTCGTGATGGGCGAAGATGTCTGATACTAACTATGAACGAAATTAGGTACTCTCTACCTGATCGACTATCGTCGTGACGGGAAAGGGGTATCTGACAATAACTTATGAACTAAATTAGGTACTCTCTACCTAATCGACTGTCGTCGTGATGGGGAAGAGGTATCTGACAAGAACTTATGAACTAAATTAGGT